CGTCATACTTAATGCTAATTAGGTCTCGACATCAGATCGAGCTTGCCTACTTAGTCGAGCGTATAAGACTACTCTGGCACACTGCAGCTTATATTATGTTGGATTTCCATAGAGGCCACCAGGGGTGAACCTTTTTATTAACCATTGTCATGAACAAAGGGAGTCTATACGGTCTACGGTTTTATATATGTGTTTTGGAGATACATATCTGTACTGTACATTTCAATTGTTATTCAACTATTTTTGCCCCTTCCCCTCGCTCTAAATTTAAAAAATGTTGAATGAGCGAACTAACGTAGTTCAATCTTTGTGAAACAAGAATGAATCGGAAGGGAGAAATGAACAGAAATAGTGCCATAACTCTTTTAGGAAATTTACATTTGCAAAACCTCCGGATTGGAAAGGGGGTTTTTAAGAGCTTTAACACATTCAAAGCATTATGTGAAAGTGTCTTCGTATAAGCAATATCAGACTGGTTGAATGCCTCCTTACCATTATAACTGACATTATCAATACTGTAATGAGCTATAGCAGAAGCATATATGCTTCTGGTTATAGTCAAAGCACAATTGAATAGTAATTCGGCAACAGTTAACAAGGTCAAAGAAAGAGTTGGAAAAGAAACTAAAACAACAGGTGCAAGGAAACTGTCTGTGGTCTCCTGGCAAAGAAGCCTTCCATGGCAATATCGATTTCACCAAAAACAATTTCCACCCAAAAGCAATAACTGACGCAAATATCACAAGCGAACAGATTCACGGGTCTTACCGGGAACATAACACAAACGCTTCGACCACCGAGTTTCGACCTGGACCATCTGATTCGGTGATGGAGACTTCCACGCCTTTAACCACTTCGCTCAAAACTATCTTTCTAATATATAGATATATTTTTTTTTTCATAGGTATGGCCTAGATACAGATGATTCACTACAGCCCAAAGAGCCAAACAGACGGAACAGTGAAGCCAGCAGGATATCGCATCCACAAAGTGGCGATGTTTACTACAGGGAAAAGAACGGCGTGTCGAGGCCAGGGACAGCGCAGGGCCCCCAAGACCAGGAGACAGGGCGACCCCATCCCCCGCATTTTGTTGATGACGAAGACTTTGAGCCAAGCGGCAGTATGAGGGCTAAGACTCCATTTGAATTGGCGGTCGAGAAGAACGCTAGAAATGGTAACGCGTATGAAATGGTTGAGAGCAGCAAGCAGTTTCATTTGTCTGAATTGCCTTCAGGCGCGAGCGGAGAGGTCAATTCCGCGTTTAAGAATTAGAACTAAGAGTTAAAACAGAGTGCCAAAGAGCGATAAAAAGACAACCCAAGTAGGGGTCCCTGTCTTGTGTTCGAGCGAGTGCTCATCGTCGCTTCGGACACCGGTTTCTGAACGACCGAAGGAAATTGCCGGCAGAGATTGAAATCTTAGGTCTTGCCCTTAGTCTGCATCTGTATCTTATATCAGTCGAACATAATCAAAGGGTTGCGAGATTAAACTAAAATGTTGCAAATGCATCAATGTTAATAATTTGTAAACAAAGATCGTTCCCACTGACTTTCAAGAGGTAAAATTCGCCATTTCAATATTTACCTCCAATTTAAATTTCTTTGACCCCGGAAATCGGGAATTTCCCGAAACAATGTACTGTGCACTATCTTTTCCTCGGATTCAAACTGAATAGTTCTACCTTCAATAGTTCCAGTAGGCAAATGGGGAAGAAAGAACCGTTTCTTTGGAAAGAAAGTAAAGCTTTGTAAAGAAAGTTTGAATTGCCCATTTCACGAGTTCGCGTTTTTGTGCGGTGTTACTGTTTTTGCCCGAATTGCACTCCGGGTAGCTTGCTGAGTAGTGCGGATTCTTCTCTAGGATGACGTTAAGATAACAGTTTTCGTAAAATTGAATTGCCCTTGCTAAATTTAGACACCGACTTCTGACAAGAACTCATGAAATTTGCGTGCTCTGTAAAAAGTAAAACTTCAGGCTGGTCTCTCTATAACCAGTAAAAATTAAACACAGGAAACCAATAATTTTCCACAGTGAGATATTTACAGGGTATAAATAATATTTGTTACTTGTAACTACTAACATTGTTACTTAAAATCAAGAAATGGTGAAGGGTCGCACATTAGATAATTTAGATAAAACGATCAACCGTGTGAAGTTATAACCTTGACATATCAAAGAGTAGTGGAAAAACTTTGTGGAAAATTTCAGAAAATTGTATATAATGCAATCTCCAAGTGTGAATTAAGTAGCTATATCCTCCCAATACACGGGCCATGGATATTCTTTTACAATAAACGCCACAAAACCATTAAAACAACTCCTTCATTTTATTAAGACCCTTAAAATTGGACAGTTTTAATTGCCATGAAATTAGAAGATGGATATGGTGGTGAAAGAGGTTGCTGATCATTCTAACTGCGCGGAGTGTCTGGTTGACACGCAAGAGTTCACGCGAGAAATACACTTCAACCCCTGTTTAACGGTCACCCTCGGGGAAATGGAGTACAAACGGCGGTTAAATTTGAATAACCCATATTTATACACCTTAGCCTCACATTCATGTGAAAACGCTTTGTTTAGAAACATGAATGCGACGCTAAGGATGTATAAGTATTGCTATTTATATTTAGGTACCATTTATGCAAAGGGTCAAATGAAAAGCCCTCATCGGGACTTTGTTTACTGGCCACCAAACAGGGGTGTCCGTTTAATAGGTGGTCGTTTAGGTTGCCACTCATTGGTAGTCGGCTATCTATTTCGTTCCCCAACTACTAATACGATTTGAACAGAAAACAGAATTGAACGAACAATTGTTACTTACATTTCTGAAGTGAAACCATCAGAATTACCCCATTTCACAAGAGTAAACAGCTTATTAATTCTACGCTCTGCATTGAAGCTGAACATGGAAGCTCCATTAACACCTTGCAAAATTAAGACTTACACGTAGTTTCTGGCATTAAATTTTTACCATTTCATTAGCTAAACAAGCTCAGTCGGTGTGAAAGGTATTGCTTACAGCAGCAATGTTAGGATAAATATCACCAATTTTACCATGTACAAACCTATCCTTAATTCTAAAGGAAACTCCAAAAAGAGCAGTATATCACTAAAGAGGTGACAATAGACTTAAAAGGAACATGGCTATGACTGAGGGAGATTGAGATGGATCGCGAAAAAACGAACTTAAAAAAGTTTGAGCAACGTTTACTTGACGAAGTCACGCAATGCGTCTCTTGCGTGACTATCCCTGACGTAGCTCCTTTAGTTTCTGTCCCAAGTGATTACGATTCAATCTCTCTTTATAATAATAAATGATTAAATTGATTAGAACAAAGAAAATCGTGATGGGAAATCAAATTCAGCGAGGGGAACGTTTACAGTTAGGATTGGAATACTGTACTTTATCTTCGCGCGAAGGGGGAGTGGGCATTTATGTTATATTTGGGCAAGAATAGAACCTTTCCCGCATTCCAACAAACAATGGCGCCAAGTCGAGGCCAGGGTGGACAAAAATACAGCAAATTTATGAAAATGTGCACCCCAACCTAGCTCTGGTACTATTGTTCGTACGCACTGAAGTGGAATGCGGGAAAGGTCTAACGTTTTTCTGATCAAGAATAGCTTTGCCATCCTCCACCCTACCCCCGAAAATCAAGGATGTATTGGCCATCCTTTATTTGTAACATAGTTGAACCTCCGCTGAACTCCGGGCTCCCGTGGGCGTTTACTTATTCATGGTCCCAGCCACGTACAAAAATTACCTTTTTAACATCTCATAAGAGACACGTCTACTAAGTGAACCCTTTTTTATGGTCCCGGATATAATTCCACTTACGGGTGATTCGATTGCATGAGAATTTTCGAGTGTCTTTGGGGTCTTGTCCAACTTGTCCGACCACGAATAGCATCAGAGTGAATTTTGTTTCAGTTAAAAGCTAGATTTCAAGCTTTCCCCCCTTTATTATTAACTATTTCTGTCAAATTGTGTAAGACATTAGCAGTGAAAACCACCTCCATACAAAAGATATTAAAACAACGATTAACTTTTAAACATGGATTAGTGTTCAACAGCTGCTCCGAGCTGTAATACATAATAAAAATAACACACCCAGCCCTCAGCGAGGAAACGTATGGGTACAAAAATGATAGAGTGTTAATATACTCCACTGAAAAAGAGAACATTTCCCATTGTGAGCCACAAGTTCCTTAGATCTTGTGAAGGAGTGTTTAAGTCTTCTTTTAAACAACTCATAAATGGTACACACAGCCAAGGACAGACAGGCCGCGCGAGGGGACTGTGAAGAGGAGACAATTGCGTTCATTACTGTGTTTGAATAGACTTTTCTGCAGAACTTGGACCAAACATTTTAGAGAGTTGCTTGCATGATAGTGGACGGATTGTTGGCGATTGTTTAGAATAATTGTTATTTTTTTTTTTTGGTCGTCAACGAAGACATGCGATTAGCAATAGCTTAAAAACGCTTATAAAGTATCGCATTTTATGAAGTGATGACAATCATACCAAAATTATCCAATAACGTATATAAAAGCCTCAATTCAAGGTGGTAAAATGAAACTTGTGTACGACGCTATCATAGCTTTGCCGACAAGGTTTTTTTAAATGTTTCATTAAAATAAACAATGTTCATATCTTCTATCGAATTCTCCATTCCAGACACTAATCGGAAAACCGGGCGCTAGTCTAATGCCATATCGCGTGTCACGTCTTAAATATTCGAATTTACCATAAACAATTTACTATTTACACCTCTATGACTACAGAATCTAATGCTTCTTTACAACGCCGATATGAAAACAAGACTTGGTCGAAGCATATTTACTAATTAATTTAAGTAACCTTAAACGCAATACGCCTTTGACCAAAACTTGAATCAGTTTTATATATGAGTACATGAGCGCAATTAAAAAACAAAAAACAATAACCGATTCCTATTTTACATTTACACCAGTATAATTGTTTGGTAAGAACATAATCTGACTAAAAACTCTTTCCAAGATAAGAAAAGGCCTTCAGCTCCTTCAGTACCACGAAGACTTTGACTTGACCTAGAAATGAAGGCAAAAGTGAGGTAACAGTTAGAGATGTGTGGTAATTATTCGGTCGGTGGGTCCGTCCGTCATTCCGTCGGTCGGTCGGTCGGTCTGTCGGTCGGTCGGAGGGTCACTCCGTCCGTCGGTCAGTCATGACCTCGAATAAGTGTTGGTTGAATCATCGCTTCCAGTACACTGCAACCTGCTAATTGTAATATTTGCAATAAATATGGTGTATTTTGACAACTTCTTGAACTTATATACCGTGGGAAAACAGTTTGTCTCTATCACGGTGGTCCATAAAGTTACTAAGAAAAATTCTCGGTGATATCAAGCAATGAGCTCAGAGCGTCAAGACAGAAATCAGACCAAAACACGGAAACTGATAACCTGTCTGAATAGCTGAACCCCTGCTTCTAATAAATCATTGTCACTTCCCAAAATGTAAACACTTCATTACTAATAATGAAATAAAAGCTTCGCTCGCAAATCTGGAAAAAATTGTAACAGGTTTATATGATGCGAATGATGAGAACTGGAAAAACAACCCTGCAGTGAATGTTACGGCCAAAGATCGAGTACAACTGTGTTCTGTTAGAGTGAAATGAGGGGTTATTTAACAATTAGACCCGTAGCCTGCAAGGGTCAACAGCCCATGAGGCGAAGCCGAAGGGTCTAAATGTTTTAGTATAACCGAACTAGTCGGACAGAAAAGGCAATAATAAAGTTACCAAATGCAAGTTGAAGAAATATTTATTTGGGAATAAAACGAAACAAAGCGTCACGCTTGATTGCGCCTATTTCGCTACTCGAGGACTATTACTAATAGTCCTCTAGTAGCGTAGCCAATTAAAATGCAGGATTTGCAATAGTCCACTAGTTGGGTGATACTAAAGTAAAGATATTACTCAAGTAAATCATGCAACAGCGATAAGCACTGAAAACACAAGAGCAGTGGCGAATCACAACTGTAGTAAGTAAAATGACGTGGGCTGAAAAGATTGCCATGCATCGATCATGACTGTAACACAACCTCCTAGTTTTATTGATGCTTACGTAGGCATCTTGATCTTGTAGCGTGACAAGACAGGAACGTTACGACCTAAACGGCGATAGGAAGCCACCCTGGAAAGGGCAAAACAATACATCAACTGACGTGACATGTACTCTGTGACAGTG